GATTATTTGGATCATTTTATTTTTTGTCTTTAATGAAATAATAAATAAAAAAGCAGTCCAAGTGATAGAAAACTGAAGTAAACCCAAAAGTGTTCTTTCATTTCATAAATGATGAACGACCTTGTCAAGACAAAACAAGTCACTCAACATCATCACCTTCTACGTTTGGATTTCCTTGTTTTTGACAGTATATTTAAACATTACTGCGGATAAAATGTCTTTCTACATTAATATATACTGGTTAGACAGCCAGAGAAATTAGAGATAGGAAAGAGGAGATGACTAAGGATAAATGAGTTCATCACTTTCATCAAGGTCGTCACTGTGAGACTTCCTCTTGATGGATCATCTATCGCTCCTATTCCCAATCGCCATTCTGTTTAAATTAAGGCAATCTACCTGCCTGATTAGGCATAAATGGAGCTTGTGAAATGCCTGTCAATCATCCATTATTAAATTAAAAACAGCCATAAACCTCCGCCAGGTTTACTTCCTGTGTGCTGATGTCAACATGGACTCGGAAACTTAGTCAGATCATGTTCCCGGCATACGCAGAACTCTGATTGAAACCATCCCTTACATTTGGATAAGGATACCTGTCAGGAACAGAGCAGTATTTTTGTGGAACAGGAATAAACACATATTTAAAACTGTATGAATTGGACACTTTATTCTATACTCCAACTTATCAAACGTGCCTTTTTTTACCAAGTGGGTCCAAACATGTCGAATGATGCTTGAAGCATCTTGTGTTCTTCTCCACCACTCTTGTTCTGTGACATGGAAATGAGTTTTCCATGTTGAACAGCCTTCATTCTCAATAGAGGGATCTGATGCCAAGGTGATTTTAGAGCTGTTCTTGTTGCCACTTAGTCAGACGGGGGCGACCATGATTCTAACTGAGTGTTCTTTATTGTTCCTTCTGTATCCCTCTCTTCTCAGGGAGGACCATGAAAACACTCCTGTGGTCCTCAGATGAAAAAGAACAGCATGGCATTTGTGCTGGAGAAGTGAGGACTGTTATGAATACATTATTTCAGGATCGCCTGTCAGGGAGTGAGTTGTGGTCAGTGTGCGAGGAAGCAGACTCATGGGTTTAATAAAGCTGCACAGTTGTTGATTTGTTTTGTTTGAACGGGCTGGGTGTGAAAGAGGAGAGCTGTGTGTTTTTTTAAAGGGCAGTGAGAAAAGATCTGCACCGACCTGAAGAAGTTCATCTGTTCTCTGCAGCACTGGCAGAACACAACCTTCCATAACACCGCTGTCACATACTACAAGGGAGTAGAAACAACCCCAGAAATAGAGATCATGGAGTCGGATCAGTATGTTGTTGTTGTTGTTTTTTTAACCTGCCAAAATTAAATTGGATATTGAAAAAAAATGGCCCTAACGCTGATGGAACCACTGTAACAGTAACTGATATTGTGCCACTTGACATTAAATCATTCCTTTCTTTAAATTACTGTATGTCTTACAAAACAGTACCTTACCCGTAAGCACTGACTTTGAAGGCAGTAAACGTAGTGCAAAACTGGAAAGGTACTTTTAGTTTAATTTAAATTCTGCTTTTTTCTTATTCTTATTTTCTTCTTTTTTCTTATTCTTCTTTTTATATTATATATATATGTATATTATATTTTACCCCACGTAAAAAGTACAAAAAACCATTTTATCAAACTGTTGATAACCAGGGTGGTCAAAATAAATGGTAATTAATTTGTAAATGAAATTTGTTAATGAAAAGTATTTCTTAACACGATGACAAACTATATTTCCATTAAAACTGCTGTTGTTTTTTTTTCTCATTACACGCGTAAATATTTACAGATACACACAGGGTTGCAGTACACAGAGAGTTGCAATACACAGAGTTGCAATACACAGAGGGTTGCAGTACACAGAGGGTTGCAGTACACACAGGGTTGTACTACACACAGCCTCCATCCAATAACACTGTTAAAACAGTCACGCTGCTGTCTACGTGCTTTGTTCTACCATTTGTCCGACGACAAAAACGACCACACTTAGAGAAAACACCAACAAATCTCTCTTTAGTCACAGCTACCCAACAGATTGCAGTCGGGCCTAAGTGAAACACACTAAGCCATATTTCCATGCACACGACACACACTCCTCTGGCCACCTGACTTAGTGAGGCTGTATAAATGTTCTCTTTGTGCGCACCAGAGCGTAAAGGCGAGCCGATCGTGACCACAGCTCTGCTTTATTAAGACCTTTGTTTACACTTTTCTTTATTGAACATATAAATAAAATTCCACATTCAGGGCCCGCTCCTGCCTTTGCCTTAATGCTCCTGGAAGCCCTCGTGACAAAAAGCCACTTTCACACTGCGCACAGCTCAAGGCCCGCCGTGCTTCAACTTTGCTATACGTTTCTTCCGAGCACATGGAAAAGAAATGAGCCCGCAGGCTATTTCCACTAATGTGGTGCCATTTATAAGTGGGAATTAAACCTCAAAGTACACCGCGCTGACAAAATGGTAATTCACTTCTAGACTTTGAAGTCAGGCAACCAAATGCTGTGAACCTCATATTCCAAGTTGATGTGGAACAAGACGCAAAAAGGCACCGGTCCCAGCAAATGTGTACGTGCGATACTTCAACCTCCAAGTATTTCATTCTTACTGAACTAAACTGCCATGTCAGTTACATTTATAAAACCGGTAACAACTCAGGTAAAACTAGGGCTGTCAAGTGATGAGAATTCACAGAACTCCGATGAGTCCCATGTGTTGTGCCTCACATCTGACATCAGTGTCAGTCAGCTGCTCGGTCCTAGACTAACTTACTGTCCTTTGCTCCGTTATGCTGGTCTGACCCAAGATGGGCGTCTGACCCAGAGCGGACGCCTCCACACCCTCCCGCTGGGCGTTGAGATGGTACTTTAAACTCCAGGTGCCTGGTGAAACCACAGTTGAAAGCTGAGCTGGAACTGGATTTTCTCAAAATCTCCCTTTTATAACATTTTACCACCGACTGCCGGGCTAACGTGAGAATTCTGCCAAACTTACTCGCAGACAAAGTGGCCATTGATGATATAAATAAACATAAAGCGGGAGAAAATAAAGGGTTATGGGGGAATGTCATTTTTGTGAGACAGTGTTGGATTGTTCCAGGCGTTGGCCAACCTCGCCGTGGACTTGACCTCTCTGTCAAGGCTTCTCTCTGTTTCAGCCTCATCTGCGGTGTTTATCCATGTTTACTTTTCTCAGAGGTTGTGTTCCATTACTCAGCGCGCCCACCTCCCCCAGACAGTGTGATTTTCGGAGACTAATGAGGGCAGGCTGTGCGTCTTGCTGTTGTATTTTCGATGCCGTTTTGTCCTTGCCAGAACCTGCTTCTCATCAGCACACTGGAGCGGCACGAGGACTGCTGAGCTGGTCACCTCCGGCACTTCTCTATCAGCTGAAGCAGCTCAGTGATGAACTCCAGAATGGTGGGTTTTTTTTCTCTGAGGAGAACCAGAACAAAGCTCAGCTGGAGAGTGCTCTGTTTGACCTGGATTATTGTGGCTAGATAATAAGCAGATTCAGCAATTTAGCCGCGTGAGTCATGTCAGCGACAGAAGGGGTTTTAAACATGAAGGGGGAAAAAAAGACAACTTTGGAGTCTGCTGGAAAAAACAGTCGGCGATGCTGGTGTGTGTGTGTTGTGTTTCTTAGGTCGTTTGAAACGTGCTTCAAAATAAGGCGAGAGAAATGTTTCGATTTCGATCAATTATGCTCAAAGGGAACCACTGGTTCTCACACATCCGTGAGATCACCCTCCAAATGAATCTGCTCCCCTGCTGTTCAGAAATGCACACCGCAGCATCACTGGAAGAAGAAGAAGAAAAAAACACAAACACACACACAAACAACCAAGAAACAAAAAGAGAAAACATTTGATTTAGAGTGTTTGCAATAAAACAAATGGAGCCCACAACTCCCGCTGGTTAAATGAGAGACCCCGGCTCTAAAATAGTTCCCCTGCTGTTGAGAACTTATTACTGCAGAATCCCTGTTAGCAATCTTCTGGTGTAGCTCACCATCACATTCAAACTCTCTGTCTGCTCGTAATATACTTTTAAGAGACACTTTAGCTTTGGTTCCATTTACTGACTGTGTATAGTTGTACAAGGATGCGCTCTCCTCTCCATCCCACAGCTGGCCCAGAGACACCGCTATTGGATTTTGGAAATTAATATATCCTTAAATGACTCGCGCTACATCAAAGCCTGAAATAATCATAGCTGTTGAAGCTCCATTAGCACCCTGTCAGCACAGAGAGGAGATAAGAGCATCTTGGGAACAATGTCCTAAAGCTACGTCTAATCCCTGTGCTGCGTCCAGACCACTGGCCTCGCGTTAGGGTGTTATCACAGCAGCAGCAGCAGAAGAAGAAGAGGTGGAACTCGTCTCTGCTCACCGCTCTCTTCACTCATCACAAACTGCTGAGATTTATGAAGCTCAAGTGTCAGAGGAGTGATTACACGTATGCCACAGGCTAACATGTTTCATGGCTTGATGTGTGAGTGTGCTAATTGGCACCGTTGTAACCATGCCTTAATGGCAGAGGAGTTCTCCCGGCAGCCCGTAGGAAGGAGGAGAACATATGTTCAGGATGGGCGTGGACGTATCCTCCACGTCTTCTTGTCAGCGTGAATGACTGTCGGTGATGAAGAACAAAAACACTCAGACATCATCGGTCCTGCGTTTGGACATAAATCCATCAAGCACAGACTGTTCAGGCGACACTTCACATTACGAGGCAGCTGCACTGTCAGGTTGGAGTTTGATGTGGCTAATGAACTCCAGAGTCAGGCCTCAGTTGGAGGAGAAGATTTTTTTATCAGCCTTAACTGGTGAGAAAATTGTTTGGTTGGGAAATGTCCCCGTTGTTTTTGCCACAGTTGTTAAGATTTACAGATCCGCAGAGAATTTGGAGAAAAGTGAAAACCTTTTAACTTTTTTTTAAACTTTTTTTTATTAATTTTCACAGGAAAAAGTTTGGGAACAACAGATCAACAGTTAACAGCAGCCAGGCAGAAACACTACCAGACTACAGTGCCTCTTCTCCATGATGGGAACGACTGGAAACCAATCACCAAACTGAAACCTCAGGTAAAAACTAATCATTAGGACTAAACTGTCACTTTGTCTTCTGTCTGCTGTTTTTTTTTCTTCTTTTACAGATGTTCTACTTTTATATGAAAGGCAGTCAGTTATTAGAAACATGGCAGATTGTTAATCTCATTACAGGAAAGCTGATTTAATCATGATTAATTGTGAATAATTACTCACAATTAATCAAGATGAATCAACATCCCTAAATATTACTGGAACAGAAAGACGACAACAACAGCAGGTCGATGTCTGTTTTTATTTGTGACCAAATTGCTTTTTGTGTTAATTAATAAGCACCATTAACGTGTTATTTTGGCAGTCTTTAAAATGAACTGATGAGAAGAAATGTCCATACCCTTAAAAAAAATCCAAATCTGGAAAGTAAATCTTCTTGCTCAGACATCAGGTATAGACTTTACACACATGACTTTGTTTCATAGTCTGGCAGGCAAGATTCCACGGCCTTTGTTAAATGCATTCAAGTTTCCAAGACAGCAGATCAGGATGGTTTCAAGGTCCCAGTGGCCATTTGTCCAACAACACCCTCAGGGTAAAAAGCTAAAACTTGGCACCGCTGGTGGAACAGAGAAGAAGTTTAGCAAAACCTGTGGTAAAACTTAAATACTTCAACTTCAGGGTTTACTGTTAATCCTGCATAAATACTTCAAGGCGGATTTATCTTGGAAATAAAATAAATGCAAGATCCAAACTGATGTTTTCAATTTGAATGGCAGAGGTTGATCTTAAGAAGTAAAAAAGTTTAAAAGTCAACAAGTGTTTTGTTGAAGCTCTCTTCTACATTCTGCTTTCCCAGAACGTGAGACATTTTTATGAATTTCAGACAAATTTGAAAAAGAATGGCCAACAAATCAAAGTAGTCCATGGCAAAAGGACATCAAATGTGTGACAGACATCTGGATTATCCAATAGTGGCCCAGTAGCAGATGACATCATAGAAACAACTTGGACTAAAATATGTCTTTTCCACCGGTACTCTAATAAAAAAATAACTTAGTAACATAAAATGGTAATATAAATGTAATCAGGTTTAATATGGATCACAACTCATTAATAGAATGATTAATGATATGAATATGAAATGATTTATTTTTATTGTATTTATTTTGAAAGCACTGCTGTCGTTCTTGTCCTGTTCTGGGCTTTCATTTTGTAACCACTCTCTTCTAACAGACAGCTATGCCTTTAAAAGTGGATGAACTCCACTCAGGTCCAAGTGTCAGCTCAGTTCAGGTGTAAAGGAAAACACACTGGCGGTTTACTTTAGCATATTTCCAGCACAGACAGCTGTACAGTATTTTAGACGGGAGGAAAACACCACATGTTTGAAATCTGGGAAGCCTGGCTCCGCTCGGCGTTATAATCCCAGTTCATAAAAAACTAAATACACGGCTGCCGGGAGATTTGAAAACACAGCTTGTGTTATTGACTCAGATCATCTGTGGATTAATTTGCTCAGGCTTAAATAAACAGCCAGCGTATTACTTGGGTTTTGTCAGGCAAACAGAAACTCTCCAATAGAGTATTGCTAACATGCAGCTATTTATGTAAATTCACCCTAAAGTTACACACACGGCCGACAGACTGGTTGGTGACGTGGAAGCATTTGTGAAGAAGGCTGTTAAACTGAATGTCCACGACAGCATGTCTCTTCTGTCCCACTCCGTTTGTGCAGTGTCACTGCCTAAAGCCTTCAGTGTTCTGCTTCCATATCCACTTATGATCCACTTGACAAGACAGACGCGAGTGATGGATGATTTACCCAAGAGCGACTCCCTTTATCAGGGTTGACCTAATGTGAACTGTGTGTGAACTCTCCATGTGTGGAGTTGAAGAGAATCTGTGTGTGTGTTGAATCTAAATAGATAGATAGATAGAAAAAATAAACTAAAAAGAGTATTCAGTGCTTTTACTCACATCCTAACAGGACAAATCTTACGGTAAACCTTGCTCTCGTCTTTGTCCCAGATGTTAAAATACCTCTAAACTGCTGACAGTACTGACCTACTTTAATAAACTTCCCATTAGAGAAATGAGACACTGGACTTCAACAGGACATCAGCAGGACAACAGATCAGACCAGATGTGGTAAAAAGATGCTGTTGTCTATTGGATCACTGGATCAGCACGATTTGAACAGGAGTATGAGTAACTGAATGAAGTATCTGGCCTGATTTTGATACTGGTGAGAAGTGTGAAAATAGAAGATTTACACATTTTTGATACTGGTGAGAAGTGTGAAAATTTACACAAAGTTGGAAAACGTCCAATGGAGTCTAAAACATATTTTAAGAAAACAAGTCAGAAAAGTTGTTCTTTGTATCTCAGAGAATGAAATGTACTGACAGAGAAGCAGAGGACAACAGACAGACATATACTGTAGTGACGAGGGGGAGGGGGTGCAAACCAGACACAGGTGATGAAGGTTAAGCGATTAGTGAGGAGGGAGAAGGCCTGCTGCTCTAAACCATACAAACTAGCATTTTTATTTATGAATAAATGAAAACCTAAAAGCTTTTGCGTTCAGTGTTAATCACTGCAGCATTTTAAACATGGGTCAAATGCAGTAATATCCCTAATGGCACTGATAGAGTATGGAAAATACATTCCTGAAAAACTGATAGAGTATGGAAAATACATTCCTGTAAACCACTGAAAATGAATGAGCCACGAACGTATGACACAACCGGCCACAGGTTGTTGTGTTTTCTACCTGTTAGATCTGGTCAGGTGACCTGTGTAACACTGGCACTGACAATGGAGATTCCATTGTTTTATTCCACATCAGGCCACGTCCTAAATCAGCACAGCACTTCCAGTCTTCTTCCAAGGCAACACATAAATCAGTGTACTCCTTCCGTATCTGAAAGACAGATGCGTGACGCGCTGACGTGCAGATGAGTGTTGTGTTCACCTGTCTCCGAGTGTTTGTGTATGCGGCTCCACAGCTGACAGAGTAAATGTACGACTTGGTGCCACTTTATCCGACCCTAACAGAGACACATGGCTCCTCTGGATGATGTCACCCCACAGTGAGAAGAATTGTGCCTCTGAGCAGGATTAATGTCAAATGAAATATAAACATTAGTTAATCCCCTTCTTCTGTGTGTTCTCCAATGCAAAGTAGCTTCACAGGGATTCCCCACTGCTCTCATCAATTGAAAGCAGTCACATTGCATGATTTCCCGCAGCCCTGGGTGGCTCACTGGAGCTTTTTTTTTAAAGACTATTTACTGCCACACAGTAGTAATTTAATTAACATTTTCGCATATGAATTACTGTTGCGGCAGTTAAACGGTAAGTGGAGCATCTTTGCTCAATCAACGTGCTGCCTGTCTGACTCCGGGAGTCATTTCTCTCATCTCCCCTTGTGTGTGTCCTCCTCTCAGAGTCACCCTGCATCACTGAGGCTCCTGATTGAAGCGGAAGGTGAGAAGCTGCTCCTGGCTTTGGAGAAAAATGAGTAAGTGGCACTTCATTCATACTCTGCCTCAGACTGGAACTGTGTTTTATGTGGAGTAGAAATGGGTGACATATGCACCGCCTGGGGGGCTGAAGCCAAGCTGAGTGTAACATATAGCTGTGGAGAGAGAGAGAGAGAGACAGAGAGAGAGAGAGAGAGAGAGAGAGAGAGGAGTTCTTCCAGGGCAGGGACAGGGAGTGTTTTGTGTGATAGCTTCCAGGGCAGGGACAGGGAGTGTTTTTGTGTGATAGAAACAAAGCCTAAAATGTAATATGGATGTCACACTACAGAACATTAGTCAGATATTGTTGGAGAAGAGAATGACTCCCTGTTTCATTTGGACTATATTTGTGTGGGAGGCTAAATCAGTGAAATCTAAAACAGGTGTTATCATTTAAACTCTGTCGAAGGGTCAGAATTTTTCTGGACGCACACCTTGGGCTCTGGACACTGAATAAAATGAAATCAAACTCACTTTTTTGTCTAATGGTGGGGATTACTGATAATTATTTAAGTTGTGAGATGCTAGTAGCATAATTTGTATTGTAGATTTTTTGTCATATTTTTTATTGGTTTTTTGGGTTTTTTTTTTTGTTTTGTTGTCTTGTATTTATATTAATACTTTAATTAGGACCAGTACCTTGAAGTAGCTCTTGAGATTCCGCTTTGTTGTTTTACAATGACAATAAAGGCTTTCTATTTAAATAGCTATTATTGTGATAAAATGTGTTTTTCTAAATCGTCTTTGAACTTTTTGATCCACCATCGTGTCATTTGTTTTGGCTTAGTAGTTGTGGGATATTATTATAAAGAGTCAGTGGGACGGAGAGATGATCCTTTAAAATCAGGTAGACGATCCAGTGGAGGTGCGTCCGTTCAGAGGTCCATTTGTCATCCTCACACTTCTTAGACAAAGGCCTGAGTGAACGTGGCCTCCGTCCGAGTGCGCAGCGTGGCTGAGGAAGAATGTGGCTTGATTGATGGAGCAATATGTTCTCCATGCACCTTTCTGCCACACACGAGCAACCAAAAACAAGCAGGGCTTTCTGCCGTGATGGAGTGAAAAGAGGAAGAGGAAAACAGAGGTAGCGGATTTTTTCCCCCTATGAATCGCACTTGTTTGGAGCTTAATGTATGTAAATTCCACCTGCAGACTGTGGGGTAAACCTTTCAACACCAGCAACCACAATTTTATGGCCTTCCTACCTTGTGAAAATATTTTTGACGGGAAATTGTGCCCGGCTTTTTGTGTCGAGGAACATTCCGGCTCCGCTCAGGTGGAGAGGTTTTGTAAAGCTGACTTGCAGGTTGTCAAATTTTCACATGCCACATTTATTCTCTTACGAGGAGAGAACAAACAAAAAAGGGTAGGGTGGGGTAGGAGGGGCGTGCGGAGGAAAAACACCTTACATTTCCACCCACCTGATCCCCATCCTGCCAGGCTGTAGTGGATGTGAACTGCTCGTAATATGAAGTCCGCACTCGAATTCAAACACCCGAGCCAAAAGGTATAAACAGAGACGACGGAGAGGTGCAATCAAGAGTTCTGTAATGAACTGGAGTGTGACGGAAGGACTTTATTCAAACAAACGCCCGTGCGGTCCAAATACCCATCTGTCAGAATCACTCCCAGCACATCTGTGCAGCCAGCTTTACTTACTGGCAACCCAAATACTCATTGTGCGTCTACCATTCTGACACCGTTCCGTCATTGGTCACAATACGATGACAGGAAACGTATCTGCTGTAATCCATGAGCGTTTGACAGCTCGAGGACGATGTGCCTCGCTGATTGTCTGCTCTGCATATCGGCAGCACGCAGTCAGAACTGCACCTGCTGTGCTGATATGACGTGAAGGTTCCTGTCTGAGGTTGTTGGCAGGCTGCTGATGAAACCCAGTTGTTCAAACACAGCCTGCATCTGCGCTGATCAGAGATCACGGGGGGAAAACAACCATTTAGACTAAACCCTGTGATTTATTTGTGTATCCCCCCTGGTGTTTGTAAATAAATATCTCTTGGAGGGAGGTGTGCCATGCAGCTGCTCGTGTCAGCTCCCCCCGTGGTGAGTGGTGAACGTGTTTCGGGCGAGCGCAAACTCACATCACCATCAGAGGTTAGAAGAGTTTACAGCAAACAGCTTGAAACTAGACATTGTTTTTGAGTGGGATCACAGCAGCTGCCAGTCAACGTGGAGAGGTTCAGATAATGAGTATTCAGTGGTCATTATCACTTTAAAATCTGAGTACTGACTGACCTGCTCTCAAAGGTTTTTTTGAACATGTTTTTTTTTTCTCTATAACAGAGACTAATTCTGTCCAGATGGAGACAGGTTGGCAACAACACGCTGACCCACAGCTCCATAAAACACCCAAATTATTACCAGTTGACCTTATATGTAGAGTCATAGAACAAACCAATAAGTTGTGTTAACACTGTAATGCTGTGAGACCTTAAATGGAAGTTGAAAACTCTTGTTTACTTCCAGATTTACTCCATTTATGGGCTTAGATTAGAGTTTGGATTTTTACTTGTGAGGTGTGATGGGGGAAAAAAACAAGAGAAATCTGAGGTGCTAAAAAGTCAGGAAGTGGAGACAGGAGTGTTAGCAGCACAACCTCATTGTAAATAGCAGATTAAAATGTACATTTTGCAAACAAATTTTAATTTGGACCTTGGTGTTCAACTATCTTCAACCAGGCAAAACAACAAGAGAAATCATTTGTGCGTCCACTCACTACGTGGCACACCGTATTCATTTGTTATGCATGCCTCCTCGGTGGGGTCAGTTGTTGTGCTATGACCACTCCTGTCCAAAGTGTTCAGGTCTTGCTGTGCTCTGGCTTTGAATGGACGGCCTCCAGCCACATCCACATGAGTCCCAGGATGAGCAGGCAGCAGGCTCTCCGTCCATGTTTCTCTTTCTAATGGACTGCAGGATTACTGCAGGAGATCTGGGGCCTGTCAGCAGGGTGGGGAATGTTCTTGCCTGGACTTTGGGGCTTTCTATCTGCTCCTCGTGATGTTCAGCCCGAAGCATTAGGAGTCGAGGGGGATGGCCATCCATCTTTTGTGTTGCGAGATAAACACACAGATGCGTGGTCTTACCCCGACCTTTTCCCTGGACAGAGGTCAAGCAGAGGATATGTTTCCTCAGTAAAAGGCCATGCAGCAGACCTCTCCTATCTCTCCAGTGTTTTAGAGGAACAATAAAATTGAACCTGGAAAGTATCCAGACACAGTTCCTCCCTGGCCACGAGCATATTTTTGTTTGAGGGGTGTTATCTAACCCCATATATCAGAATGGACTTCCAGTGACCTGTGACCTTGTGCTTCTTTGACCAAAGTGGTCTTTACGTCTCACTAAACACACCACAGGAAACTCTTCCTCCTTCCTCAGGGGAGATTATATAGAAGACAAAAAATGTAGCCTGAAAAAAAACATCAGTTTCTGTTAACAAATACGGCCCTGTAATCACCAACGTGCTGTTATTCTGTTAAGCTGCTGAGACACACACAGTTTATTTACATAGAGGACGTCAAACCCGAAGACGCTCATGTGTGTCAAATCCTACTCTTGTCATTAAGCCAGCGGGGGAAACAAAAAGTGTATCAAATCCTCCTCCATGTCATTAAATCAGAAACAAAACAAGATGAAAAGCCTTTTCTCGTCTGGGCTTCTGGGCGTACTCATGGCAAACACATTTGTCTGCTGTAAGTACATTATTTCTGCAGGAAAAAAAAAAAACGTGTAAAAAATAATGTCTTGCAGTTGTTCTGTACACCTGCTGCAGATTGTCTTTTCGATTATGGGCCAAGACCACCGAAAATCACTTTTAGTAGAAATCACTTTTCTCGACGTATTCGCAACCAGGGCACATCATTCATCAGGGGTGTGTTCAATTTTTACCTCTCCTAAAAACTAAAATCAGGAGTTATTACCCACACTTTTATTAAAGTTGTAAAAATACTCCGTGTGGTCGGGCAGAAGCAACTCAGTCCACTCATACACTTCCCATCGCCCATAAAACCTGAACACTATCTTTTTATAAGGCTGCTCATTTACTTTTTGGACAGACAATTATTCAATGCAACATTAAAGCTTTTTTCATGCTACCATAATATTCACACTTCACAGACACAGACGCTCGTGTTTGTAATATTAGTGTCTGAAGGACATGATGGTCATTTGTCCTTAATTATAACTAGTTTATTAAACAGTATTTATACACAGCTCTCAGTTACAGGGTACTCAGTAGGTAACAAAACCGTGACCGAGACCTTACTTGTTCTAGTTGTTTGTGAATGTAGGCCTGAGGCCTGGTGGCAGACGGACTGTACGTTGCTTGCCTAAAAGTGCTCAAAATGTTCTTACATGTCTAATGAAACATGAATATACCCTAGAACTGTGAATGTTCAGCTCTGTCTTTGTGACTCAACATAGTGTGTATTCAGGCTGTACTGTAAATCAATTCTCTATTTTTTTTCCACCAGTGTGGAACAATTGCTCTCAGCAGCTCCTGGCTCTCAGATCCATTAAAGAAACTGGTCACTGAGCCGGATTCCAATCTTATCTGTTGCTGTTATCTGACGCTCATGTCAGATATGAGACAGCTGTGATTAAAAAAAAAAACAGCACAGCTCGTGCTTTCTCCTTTACATTGGCGACGATTGCTTTAAGTCTCTTCTTGCGGCCCAAACCATCAGAGCAAATGGACACGTCACTGGGAATCATCTCCTCCTGCTGTTGGCTTCACATTTTGTCCCACTTCCTTGCTTCTGTCTGATACTTGTCATTATGGAGCAGCTCACTGGACCAGGGAGTCCTGATAAAGAGTGACAGTGCGGTCTTTCATGGCTGCGGTTTCCAAAAGAAAAACAAAACAAAAAAAAAACAACGGAGGCCTGATTCCCACTTTATAAAGGAAGTGTTGGAAAACAAATGTTATGTGGTTACTTGCACAAGATTTTCCATTGCTTGTGTCCTTTTCTCAATATTG